ACTCCAGGCGCTGAAAGATGGGGAGCAGACTGGGCTCCGCAGGGGCTCTCGAGGTTCCCTGGGTTCCGCCGGTGCTGCTGTCCTCGTGCCCTCCTGGGGCGCGGAGGCGCTCGCGGGGCCAAGAAGGGGCCTCGTTCCTCGTTTGGCGCTCCTTCTTTCAGCGGCCCGACTGCAAGCGAGGGCGGCACAGCACAACCCCTGCCCGCCCCCCCCGCCAGGACCCCCCCAACAACCCAGCCCTGAGGCCTCGCTTTGCCCTCCATTTCCGGGGGGGGGGGGGGTCGGGGAGCACTGGGCACAACGCATCTGGAACCTGTGCCCCCCCCCCACCACCCGAACTTCTGGCCTTCGGGTGTGGTTGGGGAGGCCTGGCAGGCACTCCTGCCCGCACCCCCCGCCAGGACCCCCACGCCCGACCTGGCGATCCAGGGGGTCCTGGCTGGGGGTGAGCGTGGATTCACCTCAGAGAGCCACCCCACCCCCAGCCAGGACCCCCCGGATCACCAGGTCTTGGGGGCCCGGAAACGGGCACCAGCACCAACACAGGGGGTGGCCTCCACAGGGTGAAGATGATCCCAGATTCCGGTGTTGGTGGTAATATTTCGGTCACCTTGGACGCCAGAATATTTAATCGCTTCGCTCATGCCGCCGGCCCTGGAGCCCTCTTTAGGGCCTCTTGGGGGCCTCTTGGGGGCCTCTTGGGGACCTCTTGGGAGTCTCTTGGGGCTCCTTGGCGGCGTTTTGGAGGCCCCCAGGGCCTCTTGGGGGGCTCTTGGGGTAGTCGATTGCACCTTGGACGCCAGAATATTACCACCGTCACCGAGATCGGGATCTTCTTCTCTCGTTGGAGGCACCACGCCGATATTGGTGTTGGTGTCAACCTCTAGGCCTGCCAAGGTCAGGAGTCGGGTTCCTGGCGGGGGGGGTGGGTTGTGCTTCGGCGGCGAGCGATGGTGGGGGAAGAGAGAAGCAGGAGGCCTTCTCTGAAGGCCGCGGGACTTCTCAGAAGCCCTCGCGCCTTCTGAGGAGCTTCCCCTGTCTCCAGGGAAGGCCTGGGCAACTTCTCAGAATGCTTGGAGACTTCTGAGCCTTCCGAGAAGGCCCGCCCCTTCTCACTCCCCCCCCTCGCTCGCCCTGTAGTGCCGTCTTCGGGAAGGTCAGGTCGCCCCTGCCTCCTCGGTTAGTGCGTGAGAGGCCCCCGTAGCTCGAGCGCTGGCGTGCCGGCCGCGTGCCCCCCCGCCCCCTCAAGCAGTGGCGAAGCGTCCTGGCTCGCCCATAGCCCCACCAAGCAATGTCCTGAGAGCCTTTTGTGGCTCCCACGAACTGTTCTCAGAACATTTCTGGCGGGGACTGTCTTGGTTTAACCCATCGGGGCTATGCTCTAAGGACATTGTTTTGGTTCTTAGAACACTTCTGGGTTCTAAGAACACTTCGCGGTATGACCATAGGAATGCCGGGACGGTCGGTCCCTGTTCACCCCCCCCCCCGAGGTGCTGGCGAGGGTCGACGATCCCGGCGCGTCCGCTGGGGGCGCCGGGCAGAAGGGCCAGGCGGAGCCCCCCCGCGGGGAGGTCCCCATGGCAACGGCCGACGAGCCGGCGCCGGCGATGGCGACGGCGTCAGCGTCATCGTCAGCGTCGTCGTCATCGCGAGGAGCCGCCTCCTCCTCCTCCTCCTCCGAGGACTCTCCTCCCCTCCTCCCCTCCCTCCTCCCTCCTCCCTCCCTCCGTCCTCTCCTCCTCCCTCCTCCCCCACCTCCTCCTCCTCCTCCTCCTCCTCCTCCTCCTCCTCCTCCTTCTCCTCCTCCTACCCCCTCCTCCATCCTGACTCTTGATCCGCTGGCCTGAACCGAACTCTTTCGAAGCTTGTACAGGCGTGGAGTCAGGAGGGAAAGACACACACACACAGACACAAGTAATCGTCGATTCCCCTAGAAAATATAGGAAAATATGGGAAGTGTGGGGTAAGACCAAGACCCAGAAAATATGGGAGAATATTGGGAATCCTGTTATCTGTGTCTATTTTGCCGCCATATGCTGTCCCAGGGCCCCTTCATTCATGCCGCCATCTGTTTTGGACAACTCGCCCATCTACTATCGGGCGGACTGGGTTGCGAGCAGGACCTCCCGGAACGCGGCGGCACTCACCGACCGTTCGGGCGTGGACGGGCCAACGTGGGCGTGGATGGGGTCTGTTCGGCTCTGGGCCTGGGCATGCCGGCTCCTGCCGCCGCCTGGCCCCTGGTGGGCCCGCGCCACGCAGCAGGGCGGGCTGGGGACCTCGCGGTACTGCGCGATGAGTCGGATTCTTGCGGCGCGTGGAACTCGCGGTCGCGGACCCGCTGGGCCCAGCGCAGGAAGGATCGGCGTGGTCTGACGCCCGGGCCGACGCCCAGCGTACACAATGCCGACGTGTGGCGCTCGTTGTCGCGCGTGTGTTCGGGACGAGCTGGTCGCCCGTCGCTGTGCTGGCACCCGTCGCACAAGACGCAGGAGCGGGATCAAAAACATACTGCGCCTGCTACACAGTGGGGTTTCTGTCGCGGCGATGAATGTATTGAGTACGCCGCTCGTCTCGGCGCTGACTGTCGTTCGCCCCCAGAGGCTACTAACGCGGTCGTTGCGGCGACGGTCAGGATTGTAGGGTGTAGGTCAAGTTCTCGTGTGGGCAGCGGTCAAGACTGTTGTCAGAGATGCGGGCAGTTCTCGTCCTGACAGGTTGGCCGAGTTCTCGGTCTCACTATGTGGCGTCCCGGCTGCGGGAGTGTGTACCCATTCTGTAGTTGTGAGGGCCCCATCGCGCCTCCAGCGTCAGAGCTGTGTAGCCACGGCCCGCTCAAACGCCCGACGCGTTAGACGGGACGAGCAGTTCCAATTTCTTGCCAGCCCACCACGCAGGCCAGGTTGCAGGCTAAGCATGGTTTTGTCCCTGCAGGCGCCCTCCCTTGTACACGGACTCGGTGGCTGCTGCCCCAGAGGTGGCTGCCGCTGCGGCCCGAGGCGGGGGGCCCGAGTCCGGGAGTTGGCGTCGCCCGTCGATGATGATCTCGTCGAGCTCAAGGGACGGATTCCTCCTCCTCCTCCTCCTTCTCCTCCTCCTCCGTTCCTCCTCCTCCGTTCCTCCTCCTCCTCCTCCTCCTCCTCCGTTCCCCTCCGCCATGGTGCCGTGGTTTGCATTATTCGCGGCTGGTTCCAGGCTTCAAGAAGGGCGCAGCGGGCATAGCAGGCTCCGCGGGGGAGCGTGCCAAGCTGCGTAATATGAGAGGCCGCAAATCCGGGCCGGACAAAAGTTGTCGGTCGCCGTTCGATAGAGCTGGCGAGCACCCCAACACCTCGACGCCTCCATGTGTCGTCTTCCGGTCATGCTCTGTTGCTGAACCCTTCGTTTTCTGCGCGCCTTTCTTGAGGTTCGCAGGCCTGGTTGGAACCGGCTGGGCGCGAGATGAACGGTGGCCCTCAGGTCCGAGGCGGGGAATTTATACATGACCACCGCCTGGAGGATCCATTTTCGGGGACCTCGCAGGCGGTGGCTCTGGAGACATTCGGGCCCCCGGGGCCGAAATACAGTCGGGGCGCTGAAGGAGGAACCCTTTTCGTTGGGGATGGGCTCGGTGTTCCTCGATTGTTTTACAGCTTGCCACAGGTTTTCCTGATGGCTTCCATGGGAAATAGAAGTAGAACTTGAGGAAAAAAGGGGCCTCGTTCCTTATTTAGCGTTCCTTAGGTCGACGCCCCGACTGTATATCCATATCCACCGCCCGCAGGGGCACCGGGACGGCGGTTCCCAGGGTCGCGAGCATCCCTGCTCTCGGTTGCACGACGGTGCCGTGCGCTGGCCCCCCCTCCCTGCTTGTTTTCCTCCTACCTCGATCCGAGGGGGCCGCCGGCGTCATCGGCGGGCCTTCTCCCTCTCTTCCTGCGCGCCTCCCCGTAGGATGAGGAGGAGGCGGAGGAGGAGGAGGAGGAGGAGGAGGAGGAGGAGGAGGAGGAGGAGGACCCTCCCCCATCCTCCCTTCTCCCCCGTCCTACCTCTGGGTAGTGGTGGCGGAGAGCTTGCCCATCACTGCAGCGGCCGGCAGCCTCTTACTTCACCGCCCAGCCATCTGCCACGGCCAGCCGCTGCAGATGGCACACGGCCAGAGCCACCGCCAGGCTCAGGGCCCGTCTCGTCGCGCCACCTCTTTCTCCCCCAGTCCAATTCATATGCCCCGCTCGTCCATGATTTCCTCCTGCGCCTCTCCGTTGTGCGCTCTGGGCGGTCGCGAGAAGTTCCGGCCCTCCCCCTTGAAAGTGAAAGTCGGTGTGTGTGTGTGTGTGTGTTCAACCCCCCCAGCGCCGGCAATCGACTACGCAAGCGAGGACAACGACGACGAAGACGACGTACGGTAGTCCGCCCATCAGCTCCAGCGCGGGCAAACGACCTGGATGGCGACGAAAATGACGACGACGACGACGGCCAGGGCGGCGGCGGCGACGGCAACTGCGACGGCGGCGAGGGCGAACGACGACGACGTGTCCGACCCTTCCGACCGATTCTCCGACGACGAAGACAACGACGTCGACGACGACGACAGTGACGACGGCGACGGCGACAGACACTGCTACTGCGATGTCGTCGTCGTTTGCCGGCGGCGGATGGGGTGGGGTGGGGGGGGGCCGAACCCCCGCCCGCCCCCGACTTTCGAAAGGTCCAGGGGGCTAGGGGAGGAAGTGGGGGATTGGCAGTAGGAGAGAACTGAGCAGCTGAGGGCAGCGGAGAGAAGGCATGGGCCAAGGCGGCGGTCGGGGGATCTTGCTTCTTGCCCGAGGATCGGGATCGGCATCCGCCGCAAGCACCGCCGTGCCGCATCCGGAGGCTTTCTGGCTCGAGACCGGTCTTCGGGGCACCGCAGCGGGGGCACTGCAAGCGGGGACACTGTGATATCCCAGGGGGGACGGGGAACGGGGAAGGGTTCGGTCCGCGGCTGCAGGCTCTGGGCGTGGCGGTGTCCCCGCTAGTCGATGCCACCATGCAGATACACACCGCCCCGGGGCGTCGCCCCGTGGGGAGGGGGCGCCTCGGAGGAGGACAGCGATACGGATCCACCTCGCTCCCCTCCCCCTCCCCCACACAGAGAGGAGGAGACCATGCAGAGGGGGACTGGGGGAGGGAGGGGAAAGAGAATGAGGGAGGGAGGGGGGGGGGGAGGGAGGGGAGGGGGGAGGGAGGGGGACGAGGAGGTGGACCCGTAGGAGCGTTCGGTTCCCAGGGCCCCTCGCCCCGGGTGCGGGGGCGCGGCCCGCGGGGGCGGCGCCGCGCCATGCGTGTCCGCGCCGCCGTCCTGGTGCTCGTCCTGTGCCCCGTCGCCGGGAGGGACCACCCCAACAGGGACGAGATATCCCCGGCTGCCTGCGGCCAGGCCTACCACCGTGCCAGTCCAGCATGTTTCAGGAGGGGGAAAACACAGACACAATTCATCGTCGATTCCCCGGAAAATGTGGGGGAATATGGGGAGTGGGGGGGAAGACACAGACCTAGAAAATATGGGAAAGTATGGGGAATGATGTTATTTGTGTGTACTTATTTGTGTGTCCCAAGGCCTCTTCAATGTTTGGTGGCGGCTATTCGAGGAGGCATGGGTGGCCGTCACGTGTGATGCTCTGTGTGAGGGGTGGGGCTTCCCCGAGAGGACCATAGAGACCCTGCCAAGCAGCACCTGTCGTTCATCCACGCCTCAGCGTTCCAAGGCACGGTGGCGGACTGCAGTTCCTCGGCCCCTCCCTCGCTTGCGAGCTCTGCACGACAGCGATGGACAATTTTCGCTTTGACGTGGCTCGGAGAATAAAAAGCAGCATGAGCCCCACGAAGAAGGCCAAGGTCTTCGAAAAGCGGATTGCCATTCCTTGCTCTGGTGAGCGAGGGTGGCCTAAGCTCATGGGCGTCGTGGAGGAGGATGGGAAGGAAAAGTATATCGACGTCGTTGCTGCCGCGCAGAAGGCGAAGGAATCAACGGACCCGAATACAGCTGCTCCGAAATATAAGCAAATGGGCCCGGAGGTCAGAAACAATGCATTAGATGCGTGTCGGTATTTTGTGCAAGGACACCAGGAGATGTTGTTGGATGCGATTATGAAAAATGAGGCTGGCCGCGCAAGTGATCTGAATTTTCACAGACTGGTGTGCGGTGACGAAGAGGTGTGCCCAGAGGAGGATGTGGCAGATAAGGGAGATGACGAGTTGTTCGAGAACGACCGGGATGATGAGAGTGACGAGTTATGACACTTGATCGTAGCTTGATGTTGCCGTCTTGGTTTCACTATATACTCTTTGCCTTCTTGCCTGTCGTCTAAAACAGTATCATCGTCAGCAGCACGCCTATGTGAAGCATAACTGTATGAGACTCTGCAGACAGGTGACGATGCCATGCTGCAAACTTGCACTCGTTCGGCTCATGATCCGAGGCTTCAAGGACCCAGTTGGACTGTCGCTGATATTCGCAGCTGCGCTCGTGGGAGCTGCGCAGCAGCGCTGTAGCTTGGCACGACCGTGGCATTACCTGGCTGTCGCGATGAAACTCGTTGCGGTTCGGAGCCTCTCGAGACCTCTGGACAGCTTTTGAGGGTCTCGATGCGGCTTGGGCCCTAGGAGGTGTCCCGGGGCACCCTCGGGTGGTCTTGCGCCCGTCTGGGCGATCTTGCTCCGCCTATGGCCAGCCGTGGGCCGTCTTGGGGTGCCTTCTCGGACCCGCCTTGCCTTTGGCCGCCCTGGGCTCTCCAGGGCGGGGCCTCCGAGACCGCTGGACTGGCGTCCCCCGGACCCGGAGGGTCCGGAGGACGCCCGGAGGCTCTTCGGAGGCCAAGTTTTGACACCTCGGAGATGGCAAGGCAACCGCATCGGAGTCGTCTCAGCCGCGGCTTCTTGGGGCCCCTCGGTGCTTACTGGGGGCGGGCTGTCCAGAATAGCCGAAAAGGGCTTGGCTTTGTCTTGGGGACCGTCTTTGCCCAGTCGTGGGCCTTTCTGAAGGAGGCTTAGAGTGTCTCGCGGCGACCCTGGGGTTGTCATGGGACGTTTTGCGGCCGTCTGGATGTCGCTTAGGGCTTGTTGGGACTTCTCGGGGACAGTCCAGGGGATGTTTGTACGTGCTTGCGGCGTCTTCAGAGGACAAGCGCGACAGGCTGAAAACATTTAACGTCACGTGATTGCTCCCAACCCTCCCGTGGAGTTGGGTCCCTGTGTGGATCATCCGCCGCGCGTCTCATCTCCTCTCCTCTTTCTTCTTCCCTCTACCCTTGACATGGCGATCTCTTCGCACCCCTCACACGTTTCGTCGCCACACTGGGAGCTCAACCTGCGGCGCCAGTGTAGGGGTGGGATGTATAGAGGCCGCGTCTCCAATTCCAGCACACCTCTCACACGCCTCGTGGCCCCGCAGGGAGCTCCCCCTGCGGCGCCGGTGGGGGGGGGGAACGTATAGGGGCTCCGTCCCTCATGTTGCTGAACCTTTCTCGCGTTTCGTGGCCCATCGGGAGCTTCAACCACGGTCTGGGCGCGTGCCAAGAACCAGTCGGATTTTGCCAGGGTGGGCTGGGTTTCTTGGACTTCGATGGGTCCCCAATGAGATCTTGACGATTTTCGATCGACAAATTTGGATCTCATTGGACAAGTCGCGGATTTCAGGGTTGGGTTTCTTGCGGAGGTTTCTTGTGGCCGAGCCCCCACTGTACGGCGCACTTACGGCGCCTGTAGAGGGGAACGTATCGGGGCTCCGCCTCTCATATCGGCACGCCCCTCCCGCGCTTCGTGGACATAGTGATCTCCGCCAACGGCGCCTGTGGCTCAGGGGACGTATAGAGGCTCCGGCTTCAATTCCAGCACACCCCTCACACGTTTCGTGGCCCCATAGGGATTTGCGATTCTCGCGCCAGTTGGGGGAGCTGGGAGTGCGCATTGGGCTCCACATCCCATATTGTCGCACCCCGCCTGTGTTTCGGACAATGTGTTTCTGACGGAGGAGGAGGATGAGGAGGAGGAGGAGGAGGAGGAGGAGGAGGAGGACGAGGAAGAGGAGGAGGAGGAGGAGGAGGAGGAGGAGGAGGAGGAGGAGTGGAGGACGAGGATGAGGAACCTCCCGCAATGTGCAATGTCTGACACATTTGCTCGTCTTTCCCCGGGTTCATGCTGTTCTTTCCGTAATGATTCAGCTCACGGAGTTCATGCAGAGTTTTTTAAAAACCTCTGTATCAGGACATTCCGGGTACCTCCTGGGTGCCTCTGGTGATCATCTTGGGCGGTGCGTGCACTCTTGGGCTCTTGTAACGCGTCTGCGAGGATTTTCCCAATGTTCTGGCGTCGTATTGGGAAGAGGTCGCCCTGAATGCTTCGAAGCAGGTGTTTAATTCGATGAGTGCGCTGGGTAGGTCTAGGCCTCCTAGACGGGGTCGGAGTAGACGGGGTCGAAGGATCGCGCCGCATCGCTGATGCATCGCCGATGCGGCTCGATGCGGAGCCCAATGTGCTTCACGTCGACGTCGCCGATGCATCGCCGACGTCGACGATGCGTCGCCGGTGCATCCCCGAACCATGGGCGATGCATCGCCAATGCATCGCCGGTGCGGCGCGATCCTCCGACCCCATCTGCTCCGACCCCATCTAGGGGGCCTCCAGTAGTAGCAGTCAAGGACGGGACGATTCTCGACGGACCGACGCGTCACAGGCGGATGTCGCCCCCTGGGGAGCACGCACGGTAGGAGGACCCCGCGCCGCATGGACGCGGCGGCGCCCCGACGGTTAGCGCTGAAGGTGGAACGGCGCCGGGGGCTCGGCATCAGCTGGCATTGAATGATCTGCCCCAGTGCTTCGTGGGGAGCAGAAGTGGAAAAGGTACTCATACCTTTACCCTCCGCCCGTTTTCCCCTTTTTGGGTCTTTCCGGGAGGCCCTCGTCGCCACCGCTGGGTTCGCTTCGAAATTTTGGTCAGAATGCGCCCCTGGAGAGGTCTGGGGAGTAGCGGTATCGGTACCTTTTGGTTTCCCCAAGTGCTTCGTGGGGAGACTTGGTTTTGGGTGCTGCCGACGTAGGCCTGTCGCATGGCGTCGCGCAGCAAGTCGAGTATGCTCCAGGGAGCGCTGCTTCACTGTGAGAGCTTCGCAATGTCTGGATCCCTGCGGCTCTGCCCATCACGTCACTCACGCCAAGGCGTCTGCGTTTTGTTACGTTCCACGCCCAGGTGCGTCTTTAAACACTAGCTTTTTTTTTTTATATATATATATATATATATATATAGATATTCCCCACCGCATAACGCCTTCATTCCTGCTACTTCTCCTGCTGCTGCTACTCCCGCTGCTGCGAAAACTGCTGTTGCTGTTGCCACAGTCACCTTCGCTGCCACTGCCACAGAGGCGGGACGGAGGAGGGGGGGCAGGGAGAGTAGGAGTAGGAGCAGTAGGATGAGCATGATCATGATGATGAGGGACACCTGGAAAAAGAGGTGGATGAGGAAGCGTGCGAGGAAGAGGAGGAAGAGGAGGAGGAGGAGGAGGAGGAGGAGGAGGAGGAGGAGAAGGAGGTGGACCTGAGTAAACCCAAGCCGCGTCAACGGTGCTGCAACGCCCTCTCCGGTCCCAAATCCCCTCCTCACCAGTCCCCACAAGCCTTCCCCTCTCACTGCAGGCAGGCGCGCCCCCTTGAAAGATCAGCACCCTCTGGGCCCGCCGTTCGGGCGAGAGCCCCGCCGCGATGAGGAGCTGCCTTGCATATCTTCCTGGTGAGCGACAGGGGTGCGAACACGTGTGCTCATACAGTTTCACAGGGCGCCCAGCGACGTCCCCGCTTTGCCAGAGGAGGCCCCGCCCCCCCGGGCAGCCCGGGGCGCCCGGGGCTGCGGGGCGCTGCCCGGGGCGCCCCCGGGGGAGCCAGGCCGCCGCGCAGCTCGGCAGTGCGAGGGGCCTCGGCGGTCTCGGGTGCTCTCTATCCGGGGCCGTGGTCTGCAGCTCTCGGTCGCTCTCCGCGGTGCAGTTTGGCATCGCCTCCTGTCGGGGGCGGAAAAGAGGGGGGTGATGACTAGGGGGGGGTGGATCTCATGGCGCGGGCCATGATTTTTCCCCAGATTTCGTGGCGCCTCTTCTTGTTTCATTACGTCCCTGGCCCCCCCGCTGGGCCGCGCACATGCCGCCGGTCATGATTTGCACCCCCCCCTCTTGGACACCCCCCTCTTGGCCGCTCCCGATCCTGGGCCTCGTGGGGCAGCTGTTGGAAGCTCTTCAGACGGATGTGCTCCGCGCTACAGCTAGGACCGCGTTTATCATCATCCGTGTCGCTGTCGTCAGCTTGCACGACGACTTGTGCGCGGCGCCCGGGCTTGAGCCACAGCTTAAACGACCCTATCCGTCCGTGTAATAAGTTTCTTGGCCACAAACGTGAAGGGTGGTCAGACGAGGAGATGTTATCTGCACGAAAATACGATTTGAGGAGGCCGAAGTTTAGGGCAGGAAGGGCCGTATCATACCCTTCACTCCTTCTCCTCCGCTTTACTCCTCATTCGCCACTTTCCAGCTTCCTATCTGCCCTTGTGCCTCCACTTTTTTGTTTCCCCCCGTCTCCCTCGCCGCCCCCCTCGTCCTCGCTTCCCCTCCCTCCTCCCTCTCACGCTCCCTCTCCCTCCACCCATGCTTCCTGTTTTCGATCGCTGGTTTCCTCGCTCGGCTCCGTCGCTGATTCTCGCATGCCATCTGGGGCGCCCTTCGCCCCGTTGCTGCAGATGCGGGGATCAAACAGCCGCCCCGAGGGCGTCCGGCAGAGCCGGTACCTCTCCGTCACGGACGGGGGGGAGGCTCTCGCAGGGGCGGCCGGCTGCTCGGGGACGCGGTGGCGTGCCGAGTGTGCTTCTGCTGCCCCCTCCTCGCCCTGGGCGGCCCCCAGGATTCCAGGGCCTCTCAGGGGGTCAATGCGTGGTGGGGGCCCAGACGTCCATCGGGGGCTCCCAAAAAGGTTGGTGACCACACCGTGCGGTGAGTCGGTGGGGATCCGGGGTCACCGCACGGTTTTGGGACTCGGGTCGTTCTCCGAGACGTCTCGGGCGACAGGGGCCTCCAGGGTCCTAAGACCGTGCGTTGACAGACCGTGCGGTGAGAGGTCTCTTGTCAGAACTTGGAACATATACATTACCAGTGGCGGGCTGTTTCTTGAATCCCAGGACTTTTTGAGGGTCGGGGACGACGCTGGGGTGGTGTGGTGCATACTTTTTCCCCGATGTCCCGGGAAAACGACGAAACATGTAT